AAAGAATAGAATTTTAGAATTCAGTTCAGAAATTTTTTATTTCGTTTCAACTTCTTGATTGACAAACAAAAAAAATTCTTAATATTGATAAATTATCTGTACTGATTAACCATCAGGTTTCTTATATGAAATACTAAGCTGAAACTAAACTCAGTGCCGCAACAGCTGTGTCTATTTCAATATGCGTGACCTTGGACACTGAGGTGCCTGAGCAGATGTCCCGGTCAGGTAGTCAGTCAGACGCGAAGCCCTCCAGTATTTAGTCCCAATCAAGCTTGGTACTCATTTATCAACCCATTGAAGGGATGAAAGACTGAGCTTACTTTGCCCAGCCCGGGACTTCAACCCTGGACCTGTGGTAGGAAGCGGAAAAACGCTTTGCCACTGGGCCTTCTTATATTCAATAGTTCCTAAAAAAAAACATTAACTTTTAATTTTCGTTTTAAAACAACTAGCCAAATTAAACCAATAAAGGTAACAAATAATATAGGTAAAAATTCTAATTAAAAAATTTAAGTATTTTAAAATTCAGTATTTGAAAAAAGTTAATGTGAACTCTACTATGTGTGGGCTCGTTAATAATTTTGTCAAAAAAAAAAAAAAACAGTTGAATTCGACATTTTTTAGTTATCCTTGGTAACACTGAAATATAACCACTATTTGTTTATAATGGTTTAAAAAGGTATTTTCCCTTTTTCAAATAGTTTTCTTTTATTTTTTGTATGTATTTAAGCCTAAAAAGATGCATCTTCACAGGCCGCTTATGAGTCCACAACTGGACCCCACTTAAAACACCTGTGGGAAAATTAAAAATTTAATCAATGACATTAAATGCACACACACACCTCACAAGCTCATAATGCTTCACAATTTTCATGTATATGGGTATACTACGTGAGCAATAATTGTAAAAATTCAAGTATCTTCTTTATTCACCAATCCATAAATCAGAATAATAAGATTTTCATCAATAATCGATAACACTTTAATCTACCCATAGTCCTTTAAAAGTGTCTTTAAAATCAATATAAATCTATCGTGACATAAAAATTCAAATTGACAAAGTTTCATAATTAATAACTTTGAATCATCATTGTTGTATATAATATAACAAAACACTGAAGATTAACAGTATTAATGAGAAATGTTCTTTTTACCAGGTGTATGCAAATGAAATGAGACGATTTTTTAAAAAAAAAACACAACAAATTTGCGAAAATTGTTAATATTTCTTTATTCGAAATAATATCCATCGCTAGCTACACATTTTCCCCATCTTTCGGGCAATTTGTGAATACCATGCCAAAAGAATGATCGGTATTTTGAGGCCAGCCAGTCATCAAGCCAAGATTTGACGTTTTCGTAAGAAGTGAAGCGCTGGTCAGCCAATGCGTGTCCCAATGATGCAAATAGGTGGTAATCGGAAGGAACCAAGTCTGGCAAATAAGCCGCATGCGCTAAGGGGGCTCCCAGCCGAGAGCCTTAACGATGTCGGTTTAGCACGGTGGCTAGGTGCGTTGTCATCAAGGAAAATCACTTTGTGCTGCCGTTTCTTGTATTGCTCGCGTTTTTCGAGTATAGCATTGTTCAAATTAGGTAATTGTTACTTGTAGCGATCAGTATTAACGGTTTCGACGTGTTTGAGAAGCACATAATAGATTGGTCCCTCCTGATCCCAGAAAATACACAGCATTGTCTTGCGGCCGAAGCGATTCGGCCTTGCGGTTGATTTGGACGGTTTTCCGGGGTCAACATATGATCGATTACGCTTGGGATTCTTAAAACAAATCCATTTTTCATCACCAGTCACAATACGATGGAGATATGACTTGCGTTTGTAGCGGGCAAGCAACATTTCGCATACGATGTTTCGGTTCTCCTGTTGACGGTCCGTTAGCTCGTGTGGTACCCATCTACCGACCTTTATTATCTTACCCATTTCTTTGAGAAGACGGGAAACAGTGCTCTGGTCAACATTCAATTGTTCTTCAAGATGTTCTTGCGTTTGGCCATCATCTTAATCGAGTAATGCTAGCAATTCAGCATCTTCAAATTTTTTGCTGTTCTGCCACGCTCCTCGTTTCTCACATCGAAATCACCATTTTGAAACTTTTCAAACCACCTGTAGCACTGTGCACGGCTCAGAGCATTGCCACCGTATGCTTCTACAAGCATTTGATGCGATTCGGCAGCATTTTTCTTCAGATGGTAACAAAAAATTAATGCTGTCCGCAAATCGTGGTCGGAAGGCATAAAATTCGACATTTTCAACACAATAAAAAAAAAATACAATGCACGCTGAAACTCGTCCAAATGTAAACTAAACATGAGTATCAAAGGTCAAACTATAAAAAAATCACGTGTCACAGTTTCGTATTGTTTGCATATTTGCGTGGCAACATCTGTTAGCAATCGTCTCATTTGATATGCATACACCTGGTAATTATAAAACAGACTAAATTAATATTTTTACTATTTAACGGAAACAAGTAATAGGACAAAAAAATTTTAAGTCAATTCCTACCTAAGTCAGCAAAGAGAGAACAATTTTATTTTACAGTTATACTTTTTATTAAATATTACAATTGTAATATAAATATGTATTATGTATACTATGATGGAATCACAATATAAAGTGACAAAAAAGAAAGTAAAGTTCCTTCCAAATATATATATATATATATATTCTATTTCCGATTCTATATATGGGGTTAAACTATTTTTTGTTGTAACTGTTTATTTATTAATTAAATTTAATTATTCTAATAAAATAGTATAGTAAAGAGAAATCACATTCTCAGAAATTAGGCCATCCCAGATGGGGTTCGAAACCATAACCTTCGGATCAGACGTCCAAAGCACTATCCATTACGCTACAGGGACACAATAAACGGTTTTTCTTTCTATATATGCTTTTTGACTATTATTTCTGTTTGTTATACATTCATTTTTTAATTTTATTAATGATTTAATATTTGAAAAAATTGTAGTAACATCTAGTGTCATCCACTACAAGTTTAAAGAAATGTATTTGAACTTGAATGGATGAATAAAAATTATTTTATTAACGAATGAAAATTTGAATAATAATATATATATAATATAATATATATATAATATAGGGAGAGAGTGAACCAGTAGTAGGAATTGAAAAAATCTGGTTTCCTTGCATGGCATATAAAACTTAAAAAGGAAAACGATTCTCAGTAAAGTATTTGGATATTTTGTGTCTATAAAGTTTCAACGTGTATTTCCTTTTACCAGATCAGAATAAAACTATGTTGCGATGCATTATCTTCCAAGAATTCTTTTTGCTTAGCATCAACATTGACTTATCTTCCAGATCACATCTAGAATGAATGCCTCAGTAACGCTAATTCCTCTTTGATTACTTGTGCGGAATTTATTTACTCTTGATTAAAAACCAATCCAGTTACTTACTTCAGATTTACCAAGCATAACAGCCCGCATTCAACTAACACAATTTAGTGTAAAGTTATGTAAGTATAGATTTTTACAAGCGTACCAGCATTTGTAAAAAAAAATTTTTTTTTTATTTATACTTATACTGACTACGTTTGAAACCGTGATTTTGAAAAACCGTGTAAATGAATAATTGTTTGATATTTAGTGTCAGTGTTGAGTTAGAATATGTATGTAAAACTATTTTACGAATATTATTCTAAGAAAAATTATGTAAGGTATCCAACTACCCTAAAAATGGAAATTTTGCCAAAAAGTGACATCTTTTTATATTATTTTATAGGTCATCTACTAGCTTTATAAAAAATACCAACTTTATTATTTTCCGTTCACTAAAACAAAAACTATACAAGTGTTTTAGTATAAGCAAATGTGCCATTACGTTAAGTAAGAAAGATATTTTAAACGCGTTTTATACTCGAAATATGTTTTTTTAAATGCTCAAACGGGGACAGGGATTGTGCAAAAAGTTTTAAAAATAATTAACTGAAAATTTTTGTGTATTTGGTTTAATAGTAGAAGTGTTTTAAACTTCAGATTTATCAATCACTCTTTTATTACAAAATTTAAAGTCCCTTATGTTAATCTAACCACTGTTTTTTTTTAAGCAATTTCATATAATAACTAACATAAAGTGCTCTAGTTTTTGTACACTTTAAAATATCCTGAAGGCATTTCATAAATGAATAACATAGAAACACATTAGAATTGAAAGTTTGTTCATTAGCGTTTGGTACAGAATGAGCCACGTTTATGTAATTTTTAGTAAATTTTTACTCATTTTTTCCCATTTTGGTTCTAATAATTTCTTTTTTTTCTTCTCAATTTTAGCATATTTTTCTTAAAATGTACTAAACAAATCTTAAAACCACAAAGAAAAAATCCCCATATCTTTATTCAAAAAAAAGTTGTCGGTAGTAGTCGGTTATCTTAAATACAATTTTTCGGCAAAAAATGAAGAAAAAATGGCTTGTTTTCAAAACATTCTATTTTTATGAAAATCGCTTCTATAGTAATAGAATGTTACCCCTTATATGTATAGCTAGTGTTTCTATACAGATGTTGAAGTAAAACTTTTAAAGCATAAAATTCAGAAGTAGATTTATATATTCATATTTTACTATATAAGCGTAGATAAATTTTGACACAAAAAAACACTCGTTATTATTTCGGTTCATCCAAACTCTGAAAGTAATGTGAACTTTTCAAAAACTTCAGTTCCACCCCGGTATAGAAGTTTTAGCTATATAAAAGCAAGATAATGTTATAAAAGCATTTTTCATAACAGAGAATGTTTTGAAATATGTCATTCGTCCTTTAGTTTTTACCAATAAAAATGCATTTAAATGATATTTACTTGTAATGATATCTTTAAAACAATTTTTGTATGCATATTCCAATTTAACTAAATCTAAACATCAAAGAATTATTCGTTTACTCGTTTTTTGAAGTCATGACGTGACCGTGGAAGCCGTGGACTCGTGGCTGGAATTTCATGAATTCCAGCCGAGAGCCCTTGAAGACCCAGCGCGCAGAGGAGGTGGATGCACGTCAAATAATTCGAGGCTCAAAGCTTCCTTCCCTTGGTGTGGAAATTAGGAAATGAGGGTACCTGCTCAGGTGTTGTCCTCGTCACTTGACCATGATTCAAAATTACGAGGTCTAGGTGCCAAAAGCCATCATGTAGCTGAATAGTGCGACGTTTTAATATCCACTCACTCACTCAAAATCACGTTTCCGAAAGTAGTCAGTTACTTTATGAATTAATTAACAGAATTAAAATTAATTTTCAAAAAAAAGTTACGGTTTTGAATTTTGAGAAAGAAGAAAAGTTATTTCAACAGATATGAATTTATTTTGGTATAGATGATATGCCACAAGAGTCATTCTGAAATTTTTGAGATACACTAGATTTTTGAAGTTATATTTACAAAATTTTAGGAGTGTTCAAAGTAGTCTCCTCCAGCTTCAATGCATTTGTATAGAAGAGTTTTTCACAGTTTAAATCCTTACTATCATTCATTTCTTAGAATTGATGAAAAAAATGTTTTTATATAGCCACATCAATCTCTTCTGAATTAAAACGATGTCCACGTAAGTTCGTTTTAGATTAAAAAATAACCAAAGGTTATACATATCTAGATCCGAAAAATAAAGTTAGATGTTCCATCATTTTAATTTGTTTTTGCTTAAAAATCTCTACTGTTAATCCAAATGCATGGGAAGATGCATTGCCATGGTGAGTCCCTAACATTCTCTTATTGGAGAATTTCTGCAAACTATTTAGTGGTATACCAGTTTACTGTTACTGTCTTCTGTCCTTCCAACTTGATAGCTTTGACTAATCCCGTATTTCTGAAGAAAACGGCATACATTACTTTTTTCATTGCTCGTTGTCTTTTCACCATTGTCTGGTAGGGATCATCTTCAAAGACCCATGCTTTGCTTTCTTCACGAGTTAGAACGTCAAAAAAGGTATGTACGTTTCTCATCACCCGTTACAATTTTAGAAATGATACGGTGGCCCCCATCATTTAGCAATTTAAGGTTTTCTGTACTGATTCTGACTCTCTCCTCTTTTTGGTGATCAGTTAGATTATGGGGAACCCAACGACAATCTACTTTTTTATATATCAATTCATAATTCTTCATGAATAATTTTGTGTATGGCTGCTAATCCAATGTTAAGTTCCTTTGTGTATCATTTGGTAGGTACAGCGATTGTCATTCATTAACATTTTTCGTATGGTAGGCACATTATCTGAGATTACTGCCCACCACGGCCTTCTTGTGTGTTCTTCATCCGGAAGAAAGTTGCGAAGCGTCTGAAAAATCTTTATACAATCTGAATACAGTAGTATGACACGAAGATTCATCCCTGAATGCTAATTGCAGCCGTTTAACTCATTCGTCTTGATATAAATCCACTTTAAAATCATAGAAAATCATGGCACAATGTTCTCGCGTCACGCCATTTTATCTTCTGTTTAAAATTTAAACGACTTCAAGTAAATCAGCAAAAAATCATCTGATGTATTAAAATGATTTGTATTTTCAAATTAAGCAGTTGTTAATGTTTTTCATTTTTTTTACCTGCGCGTATCGAAAAAATTTCAGTATTATCCTCGTATTACGTTATCTGTAGAGGAAAATTCACTATAAATTATATTTCCTTCCCCCAGAAAGAATAGAGTAATTATTTTTAAACTTTTAGTTTTTAAAAGTGTATCTCAAGAGATCAATAGCAAGCTCATTTTGGTAATGGTGTTTTGCTCCCAGCAGAGCTATCCGATTCCAATAGGTATCATTCATTATTCAAAAGACTTCCACTAACATTTACTGTCAAAAATGTCGGATGAAAGTGTTTTGGTGAAGATAATTTCACTTTTATGACAGTTATCTTTTTTCTATTTAAAGAAAATTCGAATCTTTTGCTGCATCTGTGTTCCGTGTATTTTTAAATCTTTTTAAATGTAACTTTTATGAAATCTGATAGTTTTGGGCTAAAATAATTATTGTAAAATTCAAATTAAGTTTTTTAGAGTTATTTCTTTTTTTTTTTCTGTATAGTTATAATTTTTGTGCTTTATTTTTATGTTTTCTACAACCTACTTTCTGTAATTAGAGTTTGTTGTATCATAAAGGTTCGATTGTAGCTAATGTTATAACATAATTCTTTTTCTAACAGGTATTTGGTTGAAAATTCCTGAATATGTCTCAGAGAGGAGAGTTCTGTTTGGTATGTAGCTATTTCATGACGATATGTCACCAATTTTTTAATAGTCATTCTAAGTGTTGAAAAACTACCAAGTTCAATAAACGTTTTGTGTAAGTTTTCTCTCTCCCTTTCTTTAATATCACTTACAAAATACAGTAAAGAGTACAATAAATTTAAAATTTCAAGAAAAAAGAAATTGGGACTAACATTTTGTAAAAGAAAATATTGAAGAGGGTGTTACTCTCTTTGTCTGCCTAACAACGTACAGATCTCCATCGTACAAATTGTACAATTGTTTATGCACATAGCTCAAATTGTAAAACTGTAATTTCCGCGTATTACATGGCTCTAAAATTGGTACCTATTTTGGTGGCCAAATCTGGTGACCATATGGATGTTTCTGGGAATTACTAGAGAAACATATAGCATCACGATCTATGACGTAGGTGGATTTTTCGAGAAAGCGCTGGAATCATGCCACGCGCACCACTGGTTCGCCAACCCTGTCCAAGGCAAATTGCTTTTTGCGCTCTTCTTCAGTCAAATTCAACTTTTTACGATCCATATTTTCTAACAAAACCTTATGTATAAATGAATTTTTTACAGCATCACAAAAAACTTTTTTATATAGATAGAGATTTATTAAAATGTGTAATAAACAAATTATTCCTTTTATTAAAAT